AGGTATAATTCTGTACTTACTTTTATTCTGTTTTTGTATCCTCCTTGCCATAACCCTGGAACGTTGTATAAGTATGTGAATTCTCCGCTAAGAACTGTCCTATTTTGGCCTGCTCGTATCCCAAACATGGCTTGCTCCATAGAAGTCCGGTGAAGATCAAAAAATATCTTATATTTTAGCAGGTTTTTCCTTTTAAACGCTGGTAAGTTGTAGTGACTCCATCTTTCCAACAGATTAAGCTCGTGAGGAATGATAATTTCTGGGTGAGCATCCAATATGGCGCCGACTAAACTATGGCTGCTGCGAGGATACCCAATGAACATCACAAAGGTCTCCACTTCATCGTAAGCTTTAAAAAGCTTTTCTGCATAAGAAAGTGAAGGAGTTTCCACTGAAAGAATTCAGATTAAAAACAATCAATATAATCTCCCAAAATCCTCGGCTCCCATCCCTATCCCCCAGGATCCAAGAGGATCTCAATGAGGGAGTCACGTTGACGGTCGACGGTTAAAAATAAGCCCTTTTGACGTTTGGCGGTTAAATTTTAGGTCATTTGACGGTTGACGGTTAATATTTTGGAATGTCGATTATAAAACGAACTAAACACGGAAATTTGGCTGTGATAATTCATAATGACGCATTTGTAAAGAAATGTTAATTTTTGAGACCTTTTATTAATAAATGGCTGGCTTTTTACGACACCGCAAGTGTTTCCACACCGCAAGTCAGTTCTGTCCCTAACCAGTATCTCTTGCGACCAGAAGTAAAGGACTTACATAAATGTATTTTTGTGATATATCAAGACTTTTATTTATAAACAACAGAATTTGTCTTTGACCCAAGTTAAGGCAATCGTTTAGGTCTCAATTAAGGATATCTGAGACATTTGACGGCTAACATTGGCTTGCTATTTTGACAGCTGACGGTAAAGATATTGCGTTTTTGACGGTTGACGGTTAATTTTTGCCGTTAACTCCAGTGAGACCCTCAATAAGTAATGACAGCTCTCTCAACTTACCATTTCCTGAAGGCGTCACCGTCTCCAATACCCCCACAAAGTGTGTTCCTAAAGTTCCTAAAGGCGAAATTTTCTTCCCCTTTGTCATTAAGTAGGTGGAAAGAAAAAGACTTGAAAGGAATCCGATCACAAGCAAAGAAAAAAAAACCCTTGTCACGAACATTCTGTATTCTGCTATACAATGACCTAAAAATATGAAATAGAAAATTATCCATCACTTTACATGTGCGATAGAGTGATACACCTATTTCTGGGGTTTAACATATATTGAGCGTGGATATTTTCGAACCCCATAGGAGGGAAGAAAAATACGAGCGATGAGCAAGATTCGCTGGTACTGACCATGTAATTATTATTTATCATTATTATTATTATTATTATTATTATTATTTTATTTGCCACTTACACACACACAAAAATCAAACTGCCGTTGTTTACAGCAATCTAAAAGAATAACTATAATAACATTTTACAACAATTTCTATTCAAACTATACAAATTTACAATTTATGGTCATCTGTAAATACCGGCTTCCTCAAACCATAGCTGGCAGATTTTTAATATCATTATTATTTTATTTTCTAGTGTTGCGATCCTTTTCACCTCCCTCCTAACCTTTTCAAACTAAGAACCTTGTCAGTGTGAGTGCCATGATGTAAAGGTTTTTTTGTGACTAGGCCCCCTTTAGGAGGTGAAGCCACGTGTGTTATCGAAAGTAACAACTTTACTCGATTTCGGCCCGATGTCACTTATAATTAGTGTTTATATCAAAGTATCTTCGTAGATCGACGCTCGCACTAAAGATTATTAGTCAAGGCATACACTAAAGAAACAAGAATACCTTTGAAACAAATCATTCTGTGCCTGAAAAAAACCCAGATGTAATTTTGTCGGTTCTTGCCGTGAAAGTACAGAAGACGATAAACTTCTCAGAATCAATTAAGGATGGCGCTTTAAAAATAAAACTTTTCCTTGCAGAAATTATCTTAGTAGGTGTGATGGGCGTATTATAAAAATATTAGAGAATTTTTTTCTTCCGAGAGAGAGTATTTCAGGGTTTGAATCAGAGAATTATACCCAGTAAATCCGAAGACATAATTTTTACAGCTCTCGCCGCGAAACTACAAAAGGTGAATAATTATAAAACAAAACTTTTCCTTACAGAAATATCGAAATAAGTGTGATCTGCACATCATCGAAACTTTTAAGGGAAAAAATCTTTATATTCGAAGAGGGAGCATTTTACCATTTGAATCAGGGACTAAATTTCCAAAAGAGCGAAGGAAGGAAGCGAGCAAAATTCAAAGTACAATACCTCCTACTAAATGGAATGATAGAACGGTGGAATTACAGAATGGTGGTATAACCTTAAACACGGATGTTAAAATGATAAAACGCAGAACGCCTTGTTCTATGAAGCTTAAGTGTTACAAAATGGAACTGAAATGAAAAAAGAAAAAAACTTATGATTAACAGGTAAAATTTAAGAAGCATAATTTGAATCGCTACTTCAAACCTTAAATTCTCTCTCTGTCAGTTTTACTAAGAAGCGTGGTTTAATCATTATTGGAGCGTGAAGGACAGAGGAACCGTGGGCCCCTATAAATTATCACTTATTACTACTTTTGTTATCATTATTATTATTATTGTTAATATATTTATTTGTTACTGAAATGAATTTTTTATTGGTTCAAATTCTGTTAGCCACTATTTTCTTCAATCATGTTTCTCTCGTGGAACATGGTACGCATGCTTACGTGGGATGCGGCTGGTTTTCTGTTTTGCATGTGAGACAAATATTCTGTAGCTCTACCTTTTGGCGTCATTATACAACCTTTGGTTCTTTTCAATGCTTTAAAAAGTGTGCTATATCAGTAGCCACAATGCAGTCTTAGAATGTCTATTTTTAATCGGAGTGAATATAGCTAGTGGTAAAAGAATAAAGAAGAGGTGAAGTCTCAAGTCTGTGTGTATGACAGAGACAATGACATCTGAGTTATTTATAATTTCGAAAAAAGTTTCTGATTTCGGTACGTAGTGTGAGATGATGCAAAAGAAAACAAAATTTTGATAAATCACGTTGCTTATGAGATTTTCAAAAAATACTTTCATGTTTTTGGAACTTGTTCCTCTCAATTTATCGAGAGCTGGGTAAATGATAATTTTGACGATTAGATGTTAAGTTTAAGAGCCCCATCGAAATTTGACACTCATTGATAAAATAAGAATCAAATGAAATGTCGATAGAGAAAACTGTTTGCCTTACCTCAATTCTGAGTAATTTTTTGAATAGTAACCTCTTGGCTAAATGTTAAGTAAAACGTCTTGAGAGATAACGACGTAGCGATCGAACCATGCCAATGGGAATTCATATCTTCTTGCGTTGTTTCTGATGCGTAAATATATTAACATCTTTTCTCATGATGTAAATGATTTTCAAAAGCGCACTCCTCTGCTAAACTGCCTGAGGCAAATAGCGGTATGAAAATATATCAGGCACAAAGAGCTATCGCAAACAATGAAAAAAAAAGAAAAACAGTCACTCAGAAACTTAAATTGCTGCAAGTATAACCGAACCCGGGGAAAGAAAAAGAGTCAGATGGACGAGGAAAATCCTGCTATCGTTGGCCAAACTAGACGAGCGGACTAAAATATTTTTTTCCGTTGAAATTTTATTCAGACGTATCTTGCATGTCAGGACAGCTTAAAGCTTTAAAAATAATAACTATAGATTCGTGAAGATTTGGCGATTTGCAAAAATTTGGCAAGTTTTTTAAATTGGGAGTCGCACTTACTCTACGGCTACTTGTTAATGGATTTCTCACTTAAACAAAACAGCTTCTGTGCGGCAATTATGCGTCTGTGGATCCCGCTGGGAATTTATTTTGAGATGTAAGTAGCCTTTTCTCGTGTCAGGTACGACACGTACGGGAAGAAAGGAAGAGATTGTATCGTCGGATGAAAAAAAATTGCCGATTAAAACGGTTAAATGCTCTCTCTTTGAAGAAAAAAGAGAAGTTTTATGATACACCTATTAAGATATTTCTGCATGGCAAACTTCTGTTTTAAATCACACACTATCCTGAAATGTTTGTGAGATGTTTATCGCTTTCTGTTGTCTTCCATAGTGTCATGGCAAGAACGGAAGACATATGTAATGTACTAGAGGTTATAATCCACAAGTCAAAAAAGGAGAGAACTGTGTAATAGGCGCGAATGTCGAACTTCTAAGAAACTCCGATTAAAACATCAAGTACGTATATAATGTACATAGACATATATCATGTAATAGAGGTTATAATTCACAAATCAAAAAAGGAGAGAACTGTGTAATAGGCGCGAATGTCGAACTTCTAAGAAACTCCGATTAAAACATCNTTAGCATGATAACAAAGTGATTTACATTTGAAAGGCAGCAAGGTTTGTATCATAACAAGGTCACCCCTAGCCTCACTCCCATTCAAAGGCTTGGCAACCAAGCACACAACTGTAAAATGGACTATTCTATTGTTACACTCACTCGCTTATTTACTCACTCAATCACTCACTCAGTCACTCACTTATATCCACAACATATGTGGCTTCGCCTCCTATAGGAGGAGATTGCCACGAAAAATGGACAAAAACTATATTTCACAGATTAAGATTTTAAGGTTCGTATATATGACATGTATGTGTTCTTAGTTTTGCGAATGGTTGCATAGAAACCATAACTTTACCGAAAGTATGTATGCATAAGTGGCAGCCATTACTGTGGCCACGCTTTGGAAATTTGTTGTTCGTGGTTAAAAATCTTTCGTGTTTTATTCGCTCGACTTATAATAAATACAATTGGAAATTTCAGGAACCTGACGGTCACGAAATAGTCACTATTCAATACAAAAGTCATTTTACATTTATGGTTGTTAGTCAAAATAACGGTTCTCAAATTAGCCTGAGGTGTTTTTGTCGAAAAGTAAATTTCCATACAGTCTTGAGAAAAGAAAAATTAGTGAATTTTTGTACTATAATTATTAGGCATTATTAGGCGTCATTTTACCTAAATACATGATTTAGAAAATGGCACTCCAACACTCACCTTAAAATTATCACATCTTGTAAATACAACGAAAGGGAAATTTATGACTTGGTATACACAGAAATAATTGATAATCTTTTTCTCAATCAACGGTTAGCGTCAGTGAAAAAGCAAAGAGCAAAAGTAATGATGCATCTCTTTTAAAAGCCCCTCCACCCCAGCAAGCGGTGTCTGTTCTCCCCTTTCCCCCCCATCCAAGGAAATGGAAATGTAACGATCGATGTTACAAAATGAAAATATTTTTACGAGAGAATATATTTCTGTATATATACATTCTGTCAATATTTATTCAAATCAATATATACATTTCAGGCAAGAGTAACCTTTTACTCTCTTGTTGTAATTTATTATTTAACTTATCCGAGAGGGATAAATTGATGATAGGGTTTTCTTGATTTAAAAAAAAGACGGCTTTTCTACTTTCACTTTAATACTCCATTCACACCATAACTAAAACACTTTTTATACCTGTTTTATCTTTCACGTGTACGAATTGTCGGATTGGGAGATTTTACGTAATGATAGAGGTGAGCTATCGATCTTAACCAACTTGTAGATGTCGAATCAGTAAGGTAAATTTGAATTAATAAATTTAAATTTGAGTCTATCAACAAGTTTTCTGTACTGATAGTATGAAAATTCTGGAGGTTTTCTATTTTTTTGCAATTATTTTTCATATTGCTTTTGATCCGCAAAATCCTTTCAAAGTAAATGCTGAAAAAATTTACCATTTTCTGTCAAGTTAAAAACTCCACCAGGATACGAAGTCACCATTCGCATTTGATATCTTTGAACGCACCCTAGATCCATCTATGAATAATTTCTGGTACAGCATTCCCCTGTATAACTCAAGATGCTTGAAAATTCATTTCCTCGTTAATTTTTGGCTGCTTGATAAAAAGAAAAATCGCCAATACGCAATGAAAAAAAAACAAACAAACAAACAAACAAACAAACAACTTCCCACAAAATTTCCATGCTCTTAAATTAATAAGCTTATACTAAAAATTTGGTCAGTGCTCGCATTAATCAGGGTACGTTTTTTCAGGAGTACGTCAAGTCTATTGGCAACATAACTACACTCCCAGACACATTTGCTGGGACACCTACAGCCTCCCCTGTCCCTCCCAATGTTGGTCATTGCTGCTCACTGTTGGTCTGCAAGATGGCATAGAAAGAATGGCAATTAACAATATTGGATGGGGAGAGGGGTTAAAAACCTTAAAGGCGTTGTTCAAGAAAAGGGTCCCAATTGGTTATGTCTGGTTGTGTGGCTACTATTACAACTGCACGCTCATAAAAAAAAAAAGAAAAAAAAAGGAAAAAAAAGAAAAAAAAAAGGAAAAATACACATATTATCGCTAGTTACGCGCAATCAATTTTATTTTTTATGCAGAACTCGCATGAAAAAAAAATATTCTTTAACCAATTCCTTGAGCTAGAGTCCTGCGATCACGTCATTTTATGCTAAAATTCAAACTCACCCTGACATGATTTCTTAACCAGCCTTCTGTTTCCAAAGGCTAACATATCAGTCTTTAGCTAAGGGGAAATTTAAAACAGAAAAAAGATCTAGAATTCCGCGTAATTTCAACTGTGACGGACAGAGTCGTTTGGGCTAATTAGGATCAGAATGCTACAAACTATCTATTTCTAGAAAAATTAAGCTTCCTAAACATACGGGAGAATACAATTCATATGCGCAGAGCTGACTTTTGACGCTTCCACATTACAACTGCTGGAATGACCTTGGTACTTTACGTCAGATCTGGTGATTGAAAAGCTCTGTAAGCTACCGATATCGTCATTTCGGTTGACGATACACGAAATGGTATAAGATCAAATAGCATGTTAACACGGAATCGAGAGGGCTCGATCATGTTTACTGTCTGTCGTTACAAAGGTATGGAAGCAGGTGCAATTTTTTATGATCTTCACAACTCCGTGCAATGGCACTCAGTCGTGTCGTCATAATCGTCTGTGTCTGAGAGTTCCTCAAGAGTGTTATAGAAAGGGCCTGGGTTCTCAGTAACGATAGCCTCGGTTTGGTTTGGTTTGCCATGGATTGACAAGCTATGGATTGGCTTGCAGTGAATTGGCTCCGTGTGGACTGGTTCTGGCTGGATCGGCGCTGAACCAAAAAAAAAAAAAAAAGCATGACATAGTTAAAGTTGAAGGATATTATGTTATTTTTAGGTTAAATAGTTAACAAGGCGTGTTGATTTCCTCCTTTCTTAACCCTCTAACTTCCAGAAATGATTAAAAATTTTACTTCTTTCTATGAAATATCCAGCAAATAGGTAATGGGAATACTCAAACTTATCAGGCAGAGTTGTTATCTTGATCTAACACCAAATTCTCGTAAGTCATTCACAAAGAAACGTGTAGCACCTAAGTGGGGGGGGGGGGGGGAGAATTAACAATCAGAACTTGGGAGATGAAAGGTTAAGTATCCTTACACCTTCTTGGCTCACTTTCACCTATATCTTGTGATTTTTTATCTTCAAGAACTTCTATTTCAAGGTCTCTTCTGTAATGAGGTAGTTTAGCATTCATTAAATGACTTAAACACATCGTGTGGTAACTACTTTAACGGCCACATGACAAAGTGGAATCCCTTTCGAACGACTCCATGGCAAGGAATCACTAAAGTATGAGAGCAGTTTACAATTTTAAGGACTCACCGACAGATGGTTTGTTTTCCTTCGATAATCCGTGGTAACCAACATTTCTTACCATCACTGGCTCTTCATATATGGGTTCCCCCTAAGGTGCAAACAGCACGAGTTATGGTTGATACTTTGAAGGAGCAATTTTCAATCTAAACTAAAAGCTCTTCTTGGCCATTGGCGTTTTCTGGCGCTTGAGAAAATTATAAGTATTCACTTTAAGTTTTCAATAGCAGTGTGTTATATGTATTCCTTACAAATGTAATTTTCATGCTTTGATTCACCGTTCGTGATTAACTTAATGTTGGCTATATATCACCGTTTAAAGCTACATTTTCGTCTTTGCTATTGGACTCAACGCTGCCTGGTGAAAAGCTCCCAGGATCTTAAATGACCCTCCAAGATCTGCACAAGTACTTTTGTAGATCTTTTTGAAAGGATCTTGGAAATTCCTCTACCATCTTACGAAAATCCTCTCGAGGTTCCCTCAAAGATCCTCTAGGAAATCCTTTTAACCCTCTTCCTTTACTGTGCTCAGGCTTTGTAAATTGCGTCTAATCATAGGTTTTATAACACGATGAACAATAATAAATAAATAATAGATAACATAATGAACATGGTACGTATCATTTGATTGGTCAGTTCAGTTTCCAAGTGGATGCTTTATCAGGTTATAGAGTCTAAATGTAACTAGTTACGTCATAAAAGCAATAGGACGCATTTTTTCCCCGGGCTTAATCACGTGATGAAGCCACTTGGGATGTTGGGAGAACACCCGCCATCGGCTCGTGATTTACAAATGAGTAAAGACTGATAGTTTCGAAAGAAACTGTTTGGGGCTCCCATGTTCCCACCAATAACGTAGCTCCATTTTCTGACTTTAAAAGGACACACAACCCACAATTCCTCTATTCGCTCCGACAAAGGGCTAACGCTCGAAACGTCAGCTTTTGTAATCGTTACGGTGACCAACTTACCATTTCAACTTTGTTGATATATCCAAATTATTTCGTGATTTACAAGCTTTCCTCTTGTTCTCCACACATCCAGAGTGACTTTATCACGTTATAGAGCACTACCATATCCTTGAATATGAGCAAGTTTACAAACGAATGTATATTTTTTTTTATTTACAGCTTGACTTAACTTAACTTATTGCAGTTAACTTTTTCATTGTCCCACCTTTGTATGAGGTAAGGGAGGCAGAGGCCCCAGACGCGATCCTCTTTTTGGTGCTTCAGCAGTTTGTCCGTCGATGGAAAGGACACAGCCAGCATCGTAAAACTCGTTATCTGTTGTAGATAAGAAAACATTTGTTCATCCATTTGAGTTTTTAAACTCCACTTTAGGTAAAGGAGCTCTTTCACGATTTGTGCATCTTGAAAAATGTAGTCTTAATTTGGCTATTTTCTTCATCCCTAACCATCCTTTTCTCTTCTTGTTTTTATTACGGCCTCTCAAAGGTTTCTACTTTATAGAACTGATGTTTTGTAGTCTTCCCCCAAGTTAAGCGTAGTTCACTTGCACAGCGCAAACAAACGAAGACTTACGGACGGAGGTACGCATCGGTCTTATGCCTACAGCTACTGGTTTCCTTGGCTCCTGTTAAGAAGGGAAGAAATAATCGTTAGGGACCGGTCACGGTGGTGGATCAGGACTTTGAGTTTAAGGGGAGGGGGACGCTTTTGTTTGTGCGTGTTCACATGCCGGCTTTTCTTCCCTCTGCGTTTAAATTTTTTAACCTAAATAAGGGAGGTGGGGACGGGCTCCCTATACCCTTCCCCAAGATCCGTCTCTAGGTCATTATTTATCCCCTTGAGTAGGGGGTCGGAGGATTTTGGCTGTGTCACATTGAAATTCACCTGAAATTCCGACCTGCTCATTGGTAATAAACATCATTTCCCTCCCCCCCCCTTTATACTCTGTTAGTAACAACTGATGCCCCCTCCGTCCCCCTCCGAAAACCATGTAACCCTCCAAGAATCCTCCAGGCGATCAATGACTGGTCCCTTAGCATTGTTGTTGCAGGAGAAGGAGCAAATGGTCATGGACTGGACACAAAATGGGAAAGTAAGAGGTTGGACACATTACAATGCAATCCGTACGTTGGAATTCATCTGGAAAATGAAGGGGAAAGTGGTGACCTCCGAAATACAGGGCATCAGTCATGGGATGAGAAAATAAAAAGATTTTGACTTCAAATTTGTTACCAGAGTCTCTCTTTTCCACCCCAACTGAAGCGACAAGTAGAGAGACACTGGAAATGAAGTCACTGGGTCGAGAGAGACTGAGACTGAACCTGGCTGACATAGAAAGAGCACATCTAACGCCAATGCGCGTGCTCTAAGGAGAGCGGCGCATTTTTCTGCGATTCGCACCAGGCAAGGGATCGAGTTAAACGTGTAGTTAAACATGGGTTATACGCGTAAAACGTGTATAACTTTATAAGATGACTTACAAATGATGGAAATTTTGATTGGCTTACCTGATAAGGTGGCTCTGCAAATCAACCAAGAAAATATGATTATCGTGGCAAAATAAAAATGACAAAGGATAATTAATCTTCAGCTGTACATGTCCAGCTCAAAGTGAGGCTTGGCTTTAAATGAACGCGCTTCTAATACAAGCACACTAAACTACTA